ATCGTTTAGTGGAACAGCTGATGCAATCAAGGTTGAAGTATATAAATTAAAGTGAGTATACTTCGTGCTTCGGGATTAAAGGATAAATAATTGTAGGTAAATTGAAATGTCTACGTCACTGCTGCTAACTGGTTCAAGACCGTTGCCTGGCCGTCCCCTACCTGGGTCGTTCTGAACGCTCAGAGGACAGTAATGGAGGTCACTCAGTGGATGGTCAGGGGAGTGCCAGTGGACGCCAGGGTAAAGTACTGGGTGTTTACTATACGTAGTTTGCACACGAGTCAAATATTTATTACACAAAGGATACAGAAACCAGAGTATTCCGTATTTTGGCGACATAAATGGTTGGAATTTCAGTGGCATTTCTGTGGATTTGTTTTCACCCTTTCGGGGATGTTCACAAGATATTTACAGGATCCTCTTGCTAACAGCCGTTCACTCACCTTATTTATTTTGAGAACGACACATGGTTGGCTGCGATCGTAACCGTAATTGTTTTCTTTGACACAAACACCCATTTCAATTGGATAAAATTTGCAAACCAAATCAACATTATTAGGTGTTTTCGTTTTTTCACAAGTTGCAAATCCATCTTCCGGTTTTATGTTAACCTCTTCATATAAATAGACGAATGTCCGTATGTTTTGCACATATGGCATGTAAGTCTGAGGATCTGATGCGGCGTATCTAATAAGTGCAGACTTGAAATCGGTTCTTGGACGCATCGACAGTCCTAAAAATGAGTTGTTGTGTTTACATTCAAGTCTCAAATGAAATTAAACATACCGGGCGAGAGCTTCAAGGGACTATCCAAACCCGTCAAATATGGTCTGTCATCGCTTATGATCAGCTGCATGATTACAATCAAAAGACCAGTCATCAGCAGTAATGATGTTATGTACATAACAAAATATAGAGTCCACAGTCTCACTGAATTTTGAGATATTGTGGTATACGAACCTACGCCATCCGAGAAAATCCCGACCCGTTATATTTTTTGCTCCCGGATCGTCCTTCCAAAATGTGTATTTGTACCACAAAAGCCGATCTTCGTGTTTCGCCTTCTTCTCTGAAGTGAGAAATGCTACTTTCGGATTATCCATAGCTTCCTCCATAGTAATGCGGATCAAACGCGTACACAAACCGTTGACAGCTGATATCCGTAAAGTAAATTTTACATAAACCACTGTTGACAAGGTCGCGCAATACACATGGCTTAAACAAAAAGTCAGTTCAAGTCAGTTCAGTTCAGTTCAGTTTGCACAGGACGATGTGTGGCCCAGGCCA